CATCTCTGTGCATTCTGCTTATGTTGTGCCATGCATCATGTAATGTCGTGTGCAGTAGCTGGAAGCTTGTGGCTTTCTTTTTAATTCAGCAGCACAGTTAAATCTTTCTGCTCAGTTTTTTGGGTAAATAATTTAATATAGGTTTCCTTAACAGTGTCTGTTTTCCCTTCCTTTTAACCCTAAAATTTCAAACGAGGTTGAATTAACATAGACATGTATTTGCCTTTATTTGGGCATTGGGAGTCACTTAAAAAAAAAGTTAGAGTAATCATTTGAGTCTTTTTTTTACACGGTATAAAATACATTAGTACAGACAAATCTGTAACGTGCTAAAATGACCTTGTAGCTTTAAGGAACTGAATTTTTTCAAGTGACCCACATTTCAGAACAATGTGAGATCTAATGACCTTTATGCTAATGTATCCTGGGAATTTGTAACACAGCTACAGACGGAATTTTTCCAGCTTTTTGTTTATGCCACTTCCTACTGTCCAGAGTAGTGAGATGAAGTAAAAACCCACAAGCTGGTAAAACATACCCAAATTCCTGTTAGTGGAAAAGCATACCAAAGGGTACATCCAGCACACGCCAGGCACTGTTCTATAGAAGAATCCTGCAAATCTGCATTTGTGCTTTAACCAAAATTGTGCTTTACTGAAATTAAATTTTTCTCAAATCTTTAACTTAGGGGTTTTGAAGAGCATTACTACTTTAAAAAATTGTAATGCATGTTTTTGGCTAAATGTGAAAGTACTGCAAAGAACACCCTAAAATCCCTTTTTTTATCATCATATATACAAACTTTGTACAACAATATTTTCTAAAATACTCCTTCTTGTAGAAGCCTTAACAAGCTTATATGGAAAGCATTGTCATACCGATGGAAACCTTTTTTCTTATAGGTATACCCCTGTGGGCCGCTCCTTTTTCTCTGCTCCAGAAGGCTACGATCACCCTTTGGGAGGGGGCAGGGAAGTATGGTTTGGATTCCATCAATCTGTGCGGCCTGCCATGTGGAAAATGATGCTTAATATTGATGGTAAGTAACGGGAGGAGAGGGATATCTCTAGGAATAAAAATGGCTGCAGTCTTTCAACCAGTTGGTTTCTACATGTCTGAGTTTCAGTAAGAAAGAAATTAGTACAAGCAGCTTTTACCTGATGAACAGAAAGATATCGTTGTGGAAAGGCACCAGCTCCTAAGTTTAACTTTTCTGTAAAATACAAATCAATTCAACTTTTACCTGTAAAATGCATTTCCTAAAATATTTTGGCATGTCCTCTAACAAAACAGAGGCTTTTTGTTTTCATTTACTTCGATTTATCCATTTTAAATTTAGGTTTGCTGCAAAATGCATCATCCTGTTTGGCTCATTGAGAAGCTACCTTTATAATAGTAAGCTCAGTTTGAAGATTCTGTAACCTTTCATTATCAGCTGTCACAAATAATCCAGGTTTACTTCTCATTTTTGTGATTTTTTTTTTTTTTTTTTTTTTTTCCCTCAGCCATAAAATTTTCCTTGTCATTAAAAATGCATTCAGCTCTACATTTAGGAATATCGGGCTTTATTCTGTTAGAGTTGGTTAAGCCAGTTTTCCAGCTCTGGCTGCAAAGATGACTTAGAAATCCCTAGCATTGAGAAGTCTGGATTTTCCATCAAGTAAGCACTTGGCCAAAGAATAGTTGCCTGAAGAATGAAGAGTGTTAATTATGGTGTGCTAGACGCTTCCGCTAGAGAAGAGTGTTTTTTGTGGGTGTGTGGGAAAATGCTGTCAATACATAGACAAGCCACTTTAAAGTATGCCACCTTATAACTTCAGTGCAAATAAATAGCTGTCATGTCTGATCTAGTTTATCAAGTACAGATGAAGGGATCACGTTTGTTTGCATCAGTCTGGTTCAGATTCGCATTCTGTGGCTAATCAGAACTGTTCTTCAGCACAGATGGAAAAAAAACCAAATCATTTTTACGGAGGATGCTCTTTTCTTGTTCTTGCATCTGGATGAGAGTGGCTGGGGCTGTAAAATCCTGAAAATACTTTGCAAGCCATATCTGCCAATTTTTCAGCATGTCATATAAACGTATTTGTGTCGTCATCTGTGCTGAAGACTTGCAACTCCTTAAACTTCAGACATGATTACTGCAACGTATTCGGAGTAGGGGTGAACCACATGCCCTGACAACGTTCCAAATAGAAGGGCTACTGCATTTTATACTATTAAGCAACGTATATTTTTGTATGTATAATCCGAGTGCTTTCTCTCTTTTGAGTGCTGCCCTAGATAAACCATTTCAGGAGGTCTCTGCTTAAATTTAAAAATGCGTCACAGCAGCTGCATTGCATTTGAACAGTGGAGCCGTGGGTCAACAGGGAAGATGGCTAAGTACGTGTGTGGGGGTGGTGCTAATGAGTTTGACCTAGACTGTGACTGTTCTTAGATGATGCTCTGTGCTTCGAGAGTAGAGCTGTGTGTTCAGATTTTTGTTAACCATACGTAATGTTAACTTTTTGTTTTATTAGCCGAACAGTAAAAGGAAACCATGACTTAAAATAGCACCTTTATTTCTTGCACTTAATTATGATATTGATTTCATAAGAGCAGTATAACTAGGGTTGTACCAAGATGTTTCAAGTATATTTTTTAAGTGATTGCAAAGCTTTGACAGTTTCCCCCCCTCCCCCCAACTGGGTATGCAAATTAAAAAAGGAATAAAAATGTGATCACAGCTATGCTTCGATAGGTTGTTAGTCACAATACTAGGGTAGCAGAGAGTAATTCTCTTTGCTATAGGTATTTTATTAGGCTAGAAGCAGGGTCACGTTGGTAGATGTCTTATTCCCATTAAGAAGGCAGCCTTAAATGGGAGAGTAGAGACAGCATTCAGGGTAGCCTGGATGCACATTAAGGCCCATACTTCTTACCTTAGTAACTATTATTGTAATGCGCTTCAGACAAATTCAAGCATACATTTTGCAGCTGATGATATAGTAATAAGCTTTGTTTCCATGAAGAAGTTTTTCTTTCTAGCTATTCTGATTACAAAAATCATGACGAGAAGAATACACAGTCTTTACATAAGTGTCATTCGCTTTGAGGACTGTGGGATAAATGTTACCCCTATGTATCCCTGTGGGATAAATGTACCACTATTAAATGGTACCTATGCTTTTAGGTTAAAGTCCCCTTTGTACCAAAGGAAGGCTTCAGGCTCCGAAGCTCCTGTATTGCATGTTACTGATTAGTTCAAGGAAAGGGGCTGTTAACTGAGAAGTTAACCATCTAGGGCTCTGAGTCTAATTAGATCCATATCATGATCATCTCCAATACAAGACATATTTTATAAAGTTCTGCTGAATTTTTTTTCCCAGTAGTCAGGCTATTACTATTAAGGCAAGCAGTCTGCAATGGAGCAGAGTATTCTGAGTTTTATGGGGGAAATATATAAGTGTAATGCTCTTTGATACTGAACTTCTTAGATAATGAAGTAGGTCAAAAACGAGTTTTCCTGTAGATAGAGGAGGCATATACTTCTGTACCAAGGAAGGGTAATCTGTTGTACATGTGGTTAATGCTGCTAAAACTTTACCTTTTAACAGTGTTTGTTCTGACTGAGCTGTTTGAAAAGCAAAGTCGTAAGTCTTACTAATGCTAGTTAATTCTCGTAGCAGTATATATACTGCATAATGAAATGAGGCTGCTCCTTTTTTGAGATGAAACATCTCAGTCTGCTTTGACACTGCTGTATTTTGTTGCTTTTTATGAACCAGGTTTTGCATAGCACTACTGAAAAATTCTTTTAACCAGATTTCGTTTTTGTCCTCTTGGCAGAAATTATTCATTTCTAGACAAGACCTGCAGTCTATAGGCCACAAAATGAGTTGCATTAAAATGAAATCCCTCAACAGAAACAGTATTTAGGAGTTTTAATACCAAAGTATGGTAGTTTGTTTGTTTTAGCGGGGGGGGGAGTTGTTGCATTTTGTTTTGTTTGAGACCTCCAAACTTAGAGCCGCAATCAGATCATTGGAGTTTGTTGTCATTTACTTAACTCATAAAAGGTGGCCTTCAAAAATAGGTTCCCATCTACTTTACAATTTTTGTTGCTCTGGCAACCAAAGCCTTCAATTGGTAGTTGTTGGGGGGCGTAAGCTATTTAGTTCATTCAGTAATCGAGGTCCGTAGGAGTTAGCTAGAGTGCGTCATCAGAAGTTGGCGGCCTGCTGGGGTGACGCATGTCTGAAGAATGTTTTGTTGTATTTGTGTGGAGATTCGGTGCATTTGATGCATCAGAGTCAGTATCTTTATAAATACCTACTTCTAAGTCAAATTATTTTTGCTGTTTAAAAGCTTGAAGTGTATTGCTTTGACTCCACTCTGTTTTGGGTGAATGTGAAGCTGTTAATTACAAAACTGCCAGCTCTGCTTTTATCTGAAAGTTGCTTGATACCACCTTTAAGAGCCTGTGTTCCGTTGCTTGTAACTGCAAAAAACAAACTTGGTTGCAATTTTGCATGCACAGGTTAAGGTTGCTCAGGGGTGGGGGGAGAACGATTATTTCATACATACAGATCATAGATATGCATAGTGCTGCAAGTTTAATGTTGCATAAGCAACCTGAATTCTGGCTTTCCTAACCTTGTAAAGAAAGCTAAGCACTACAACTGTAATATTTCTGTATAATAAATTAATAAAAAACAGATGTAACTTCTGCACCCAACCTGTGTTGAACCTTGGTTTTATGCAGTAAACTGGTTAATTTCCCCTGTGGAATAACGAGTCTCTATGGCTTCATTCACTCGTGTTCCAAATCCATGCCAGTGTGGCACACCCCCACTTCACCACCTCCCCAATTACCAGCTCCTGATAATTGTCACTACTGGGTAATTTGCTGTTAAATATAGCCCAGTTGGAGCAGCGAAATAACCACAGTTTACTATATTGCAAAACTTTTCAATGCCTGTGGTGGTTTCTCTGTATTGATTATGTCTAAGCACTGGCAATTATGTAGACATCAATGTCTATAATAGCACTTGGTTACATGTGAATATTGTTATAAGCTTTTCACTTATATTTTAAAACTGCCCTGGCAGAAATAAGATGCTTCCAGAAACCACAAGTTAATTTTTACTGTTAAGTTTGTCAACAGCTTCCCTTACTAGTTCAGAGTTAAAGGACTTTGAATGCTCATTTACTTTTGGAGACCTGAGTTAGGTGATGCACATGAACATAAGGTGATTACTACACGTAAAATTATAGGGCTGGAGTTGAGGCTTGTGGAACTTGCCAGGTTAGAATTCAGGTGTGCTGATGAAGCGATGCGGGAGAACCAGTTGTCGACAGGACTCATCCAGTGCAAAGCTTGGAACTGTATCAGCTGGGGGCATAGGTGTAGATTTTTAGGCACCGGGTATTGCTAGTACTGTGCGTTTCACTAGAATTAAACCTCACGTGGAAAACTTGAAAAAACTTCAGGGAGTGGTGACTTATACCGCACCTCTTCTTCAAAAAATGGTGCTCATGGCTGGATTTTTAGTGTGCCTAAATTTGTTGTTGCTTTTTAATTACGAGTTCATTCATTTCAAGTCTGCTTTTGTGAAGAGAAGCAGTAATTCTGGGAAAATAAACTCTTTCAGTTCTGCACAATTAACCTTGTTTTCCTGCAATATCTTGGGTACACATTCATGCTGCACTTGACGTATCTTGTCATGCTGAATTGTCTTGCCAGTGTGAGCGATTTATTTTTGCTACAGGCAGAATCTTTTAGGAGGGGAAACAAAAGTGTCACTTGCAATTCCACCACTTCCACAGCAGCATTAGTTTTTCTCTGGAACATCCTCTAAAATCCCAATGACACTCTCTGTTGCCTAAGATTGAAGTGTCATGACTTTCTCACCTGTTTTTGGAAAACTTGAAGGTTGCAAAATATGCACTTGGTGCTCACTTTGGCCTTAGACAGTTAATTTGTTTGATTGTTCATCTTTCTGAAATGGCTGTTTCTTTCCTTGATGGTTTTTTTCCCTTTCTCTAGTTTCTGCCACTGCCTTCTATAAAGCACAACCAGTAATTCAGTTCATGTGTGAAGTTCTTGACATTCATAACATTGATGAACAACCAAGGCCTCTGACTGATTCTCATCGGGTAAAATTCACCAAAGAGATAAAGGGTAAGTAGAAAATTATTTTTAACCGTTATGGAACAACATGTGTTTAATGCACTTGGGCTACTGAAGGGACACTAACTGAAAATTTCAAAATGGATATTGATATTGTTGCATTACTTTAGGGAAGGGGTGCTCAACCCCTGGCCCGTGGGCCCAGTCCAGTCCCTGGGGTCCCATCCTGTGGCCTCCAGGACCCCTCATCGATTTGTGGAGAGCCCCACAGGCCATGGCTCAGACTGCTGGATTGAGCACACAGGACAGTATAGAGCCCACTCCTGGCACATAGGGGGCAGACTGGGGCCCCAGAGCCTGATCCTGGCTAGGCAGAGGTGGCACAGGGCTCAACACCATTCATTTGGGCTGCAGGGTTAAAACTGTGAGCACCACTTCTTTAGGAGCATGCTAAAAACACTGCAGGTTTTACCAACACAAGATCCAAAACAAATATATTACATAGATGGTTGCAGTCTTTCAAAAATTCAAAGATATAATACTCTGCATACTCTTACTAGTTTAAAGGGGCAACTAGATTACTGTTTTATAACCAGTGTTATCTGTGCTGGAGCAGCAGTGCTGCTGGAGAGCTGACCCTTTTCAAGAGAATAGCAGTACTGCGTTCCACTGACTCTTTATAGGCCTCCTGCTGCTTAAGTACTGAAGTAGAGCAAATGTTGATTTACCCCCCTTCCTCCCACCTCCTAAAGACAGTCATTGATGGCTTTCTCCCTTCCTCCCCCTGCCCTCCCCCCCATTTCCTTCTATTTTGGTGCTTAGTGTAATTGCAGAAAGGATGTAACCATTTAGGAGCTTCAGGAAAATCCCCTCTTGAGACCTGTTCTGTCATTAGGTGCAGGAGTACACACACTCTCTACCAGTTAGTTTAAAAAGCGTAAGTACTGTACATCTGGTTGCAAATCTGTGCTGGTACAATTAAAACATATTTTTTTAATTACCTTTTAACACATTTTGGAAGTCATGACTCCTTTTTAACTATCAGAATGTACACTATTTAATTGGACAGCGATCAACTTTCAGTTTACTTCATGTTTCTCATAATAAGAATAGCCACTATAAGAAAGCACTGAAAAATTACGTTGACCTGCATTCGAAATCTTTTGTAAATCTACACCAAACATGCAATTAGTCCAAAAAAGTATCACCTATGAAAACTCTTCCCTCTCATATCCTGGACCATCCTGGCTACAGCATCGGTACAACCCTCTCATTTGTCAATATTGTCGTATTTACTCAAATCCAAGACGAGGGTTTTTTCTCCACTGTACATGGAGGTGTGGGGAAGCCCCTCATCATGCATTTAAAAAGGGGGGGGGGGGGGG